TTATCGATATATATCGTTAATTTGCAAACGATATATATCGATTAAATGCTATATATCGATTAATTTCTGTAAAAAAATTTTCTGATGATAGTAGTTGTTGCATTATTGTATTGTATTGAGGTAAATTTTATTATTTTTGTAATACTTTATTTGAGGTAAATTTTGTTATTTTTGTATCACTGACATTTTTTTCTTTGTTGTTGCATGTTTAACCTCCACAGTTCTTTTTATAATTATTTTGCACTGCTTGCTTTGGTGCCACTGCTGTGATAGGTATCATGTTATTTGTCTTGAGATGAATTGTGTTATTTTTGTATTGCTGGCATTTTTTTTCTTTGTTGTGATCATTGATTTTAGTTTTTTTGCCATTTGTTTTAACACTACAACTATGGTAGATAATATATTATTTATTGCTTTTGGGTAAATTTCATTATTTTAGTGTTGTTGGTGCTTTTTATTTGATGCATATTTAAACTTTCCACTTTCTTTCTATAGTTGTCATTAGTATCAGTTTTATGCAACATTTATAAATAGATGTTGCCATTATTTGTGTTGCTTTTGTGATAACCATTTTATTGTTATTGGAGATACTATTGCTTTTGAAATACTTCTTGGCATCTTTTTTCTTGATACCATCATTTAAAAATGTTCTTGGCTAGGGCTAGGGTGAGCTAGTTAGTATGGTTAGGGTGAGTTAGGTAGTAGGGTTAGGGTAAGTTAGTTGGTAGGGTTTGGGTGAGTTAGTTGGTAGTGTTAGAGTATTAATTGGTAGTGTTAGGGTTAGTTGGTTAGATTAGTTAGTGGTTATTTCGAATATGTACATTTGATACGTGACGATTCAATATGTTATGCACAATGGTTTTGAATCTGTAATGTTTTTTTTTTTAACAATAAATTATACATTAAAATTGAAAAGGCTATTATAATATTGTTATGTAATTCTTATCACATGACTAGGGGTGCACTGTAGTGCAGGTGTACCAAATTTTAAAACCCAAAAATATATATATTAATCATAATGATAAAATTTCTTACCATGAATTGTTGATGTTAAGGCTGCATAAGCATTGGATAATTACCCATAGGATAAATGCCAGAAGATCGTGCTGCTTGGTAAGATTGATGTGGAAATAGCATACTGAATCGCTATTATTATATATATGATTATGTGTTAAGTTATTTAAAATTGGTCATATCATATTAACATGAGTTATCTGTTTTATAAGAAATAAAACCTTGTAATCGTTGGTAATATCAAATCATGGTGGAGGATTATTATCGTCCTCTGTAATATTGGCAAACTAAGAAAAAAATTTGCAAGAATAACAAGTTAGAAATTGTTGCTATTATTGCCAGTACTTCTATTATTGCCATTACTGTATCGTTATTATCGATGTTTCTACATTTGTTATAGATATCTGTCCACTTTGAGTTGATGTTGGTATGTTTAGTATATTAATAGTAGATATAAAAGAACTAGTACCTGAAGATGCATTAGCTAGATTGTTCATAACCTGTATATAGTCAAAATAAAATGACCTGTCAGATATGGTCAAGGCCAATTGGTTTGAAATCAAACTATCATGATGCTCATTGTTTTTTTTCCAACCGATATATCTGAAAAGTAAGAAAACATGTCACTATTAGAAGCTGATTTTGATATATCAGAGACACCAAATAGTCTTGGAATACTCTGGAATTTTGGCATGACAAGATGTGAACAATAATTTTCTAACATCTTAAGAAACATCGATTTGCTAAATGGCTTGGCAAGAACATCATTCATTCTATATGAAAGATAAAAACTACAATCTTGATGCAATGCTAATAATTGGTGTGGAGCTGTTGAAATGTCTAATTTGAACTGTTGCCTTAACACCTAAATTTATATTATAGTAAATCATAAGATTAATAATATTAGAGAAATGAGATTCTAAAAAAGAAACTTACCATCCAACTTTGGTAAAACAATTTTCTATAAATTGCACGTGGCAATATTAGAAAGTCAATCAAATCGGGTTTGCAACGCAGTAACGAAGAGCAGAACTTTATGACTTACTATGAAGACAAGATCATATTTACTAATCTTCATTTGATTAATAGCACCAATTCTATCTACTGCAATGTTGAACCAAATTTTTGGTATACCAAGTCATCATCTACTAGAAGAACTTTTGGAGGAACATATCAGACTAGTACAAACGTACTATAGTGAATGTGCATACTATTAGAAGCATATTGTGAAGTATTTCCAACACGTTGAGCATTTGCGTTTGAAGCGGAAATGATATTTGATGATGACGAAGCATGCGATTGTTTGGCTTATATACACCAAATATGTTGTTAGTTAGTGGTCACAAAAATAGTAACCGGTTAACTATAAATATTAAGCGTACGTACATACCTAAATTTGGTGCATTTACATTTCTTCCAACAGTAGATGATATTACAAAATAATTTATGAATTGTGCGTCAATACCATGTGGTAAGCTGACAGTCGCATGAGAAGTTGTATTTTGTGCATTCTGCATGTTAATTTCATAAAGTTGCTGCATGTTAATTTCATTATTTGAAACTATGATTGTTCGTTTGATGCTTTGATCCTGACTCTTTTATTTTCAGGCAATGAACTAATCAAAGTTGATAATGTTGCTTGGTTGTTATTATTTTTATCATTTGTTGATGAAATTTCACACTTCCTTTTTTTTGTAGCTAAATATTTACAACACATTTAATTATTAGTTTACATTTATACGGAAAAAATTGCGACAGATTAGCTTAGAGACTTAATTATTAGTTATACTATATTAACAATCCCTTTTTTTGATGATTACCTTCAAAAGAATTAAACATATTTAAGCCTTTGTTTGCATTATAATCTTCATCAGAAAGTATTTCATCAGAAAGTTCGGTATATTTATATTATTGATAATAAATTCAACATATATTTCTGATATATTCTTAAACTTAGCTAAAATTTCGTTCATTGCTGGGCGCATGTCCTGATCAGAAGACCAGCATTTTTCTTAAAGGTTTAAATAATCCTTAGGCGTGCCTTCAATGGATTTTTCTCTTTCATTATTTGAAATTGCTTGGCTTAAATACACAAAATTGTAATTATTGAATAGAGGAATTCCACTTGTAAGTTCCCAGAGTAATACACCCAAATGTAAATATCAGATTTCTCTTTGTATTCAATTTTTATTCCATGTTGAATAAAGCATTGCGGTTCTATGTACGCCCACATGCCAACCATATTATTACCTGCACCTGAAATCGAAGCAGTGGTATTATTAAATTGGCTTGATATTCCAAAGTCTGTGATTAAGGCCTTTCCATCATCAATCAATATATTCTTAGAACATCGAGAAATTTTTTTTACAGAAATTAATCGATATATAGCATTTAATCGATATATATCGTTTGCAAATTAACGATATATAT